ACCTTGAAATGGAATCAGGAGAACTGGCTGATTTTAAATGCCAGTATGTGCACTGTAGTCATCAGCCACAAGAGGAAGAGGAATTGTTGCAAAAGTAAAAGACTTTTCTTATCTTTTATTTACAGGAAAAATCAGACTTTTTGTGTTTTCACTGTTGAAAAGTGAACTCTTGTAAGTGTGCAATTATCTTATGCCAGAGAAATTTTCTTTTACGAAGTTTGCTCCATGGTACTCTCGAAAGTACATAAGGCATACAAAAGTATTATTGTCATAATGCTACTGCCAATTATTGCAGGAATGTATTCATTTCTTAAATGCTGACCCCATTTTCCAGCCAACCTAGCTCCCTAAGCAGCTCGCAAAATCAATGCATGTTGCAATAAATCAGCTGCACAATCTGCAATAAATTCTGCACACACATGCACACAAAATAAAAGCAGGAGAAATAAAACACGTAACTTAAGCCCAGCAGAGCTCCAATGTTAATGTTCACAATAATGGCTAGTGTCAATAAAAGCTTTTCCTCAAATTTTGCACGGTAATTGCCAGGTGAAAGGAAATCCTACATGGAAAGCCACCATGACAAGGAACACCCAGAAATTCCAGAAACCTTAGAAAATGAGAATGTGCCAGTCATGGGTGCAAGAAACAATGCCCCGATCTGGTACAAATTAGCTCTTCACTCTCTCCTTGTTCATTGTCTGAAGCCAGGCCAAGAGTCTTCAACAAAGGATATTTAAATTGATGCAACATTTTAATAAGCTTGGCACCGTGGTGGTGTGGTGTTTGGAGTGCGAGACCAGGGAGTTCCAGGTTACAATTCCCATTCAGCCATGAAGGCATGGAAGCTGGGTGATGCTGGGCCAGTGACCTTCTCTCAGGTGAACTTACCTCACAGGGTTGTTGAAAGGATAACATCTGGGGAGCGGACACCATGCATACTGCCCTGAGCTTCTTCAAGGAAGGGAAGGATATGTATGTAATAAAGAGTCCTATGCTTTATCATTATTTCCCAGTGCTTTATCATCACAGGCACCTTTTCATATGCACACCTTGCATTCCAGCTAATCTTCCGAAGTCCCCATCCAACAAAAACGAGAACCAAAATTAAAACTATACAAACAAAACAGAAATGACAAAACAGCCAGTTTAAAGCAGCCATAATCGTTTTCCTTCCTGAGCAAGTTCTACCAGAGTACTCTGAAATACGTTGCTGATGATGCAATCACAAGCATCTTGTACCTCTGAACAATATTAGAATTACCACTTATTAGGATACAGTTGACATGTTCAAACTCTGCTTCTCACACTCCTGTATTTAGAAAAGTTGTCCTGAAGCTTGAAGAAATCATGTTGGATTTTACCACTTGAAGGACAAGGGTGGAATGTTCTTGCTTGTATTTGTGGATTGTTTCTTCATCTTTTTTTGCACTTCTCAGTGAATGAGGCCTTCTTTTTTTACTCTGGTTTGATACCAAAGCCATGCAGCAGTTACTCCAGGGTGCCTTTAACCCGCAACACAGATCTGCTGAAATCCGTGAGCTTGAATGTGGCATCAGATCATCACCTGGCCTGCTCCAGAGGAAGCATCCGTGAGTGGGTCAGCCTTCCATCCCCTACTTTGAGCAGAACAAGGCTGAATCGCTTTCTTCAGGTCACCAGTTCAAGACTTGCTCCAGGCTCAAATCCTGACACGAGGGGCTGAAGACAAAACCATTCATGTGCTGAAAGTTAGAAACATGCAGTGCACTGGATGAAGCTAAATGGCCACCCATGAGACAAACTCCAGAGGGTTGACCATGCCAGCCTGCTGCAGAAAATGGATACCCCAGAACAAAACTGGTGGCATCTGATGAGGTGCGGTGTCCGCAAGACTCTTGGCTGCTCACAAATATTCCACGAAGACACAAATAGTGTTGAAGAGACAATGATCTTCAGAGAACGTAGTCATCTTCAGAGCATAGGTCCGGCTAGTTTCTCTCGTGCTGTTTCTTACTCTGACATTCTCATTTTGCTAACTGGTCGAAATGTTTAGTATTCCTACCCGTTGTCGAGCCTGTTCTAAAGCTTGCATTGCTTTCACAATCGCTGCTTTGACAGCTGCTGGTTCTTCTCACTTCAGTTATTACTGTCCGAGGAAGAGGCCTGGCCTGATGCATCTTGCTGACTGGCTGGCTGCCACGCCAGCTAGCGGCTTGCTCACTGAATCAGCCATCTGGCACAGCTGGCGGCTTGCTCCCGCCGGCCCAGCCATTCCTGCCTCGTGCCTGAGCCATGGGGTTTCCACACACAGTTGGCCGAACTCCCGCAAGAGGTCAGCCAGCCTCTCATGAGAGTTCAGGCAACAGGAGGTGGGAGCCCAAGGAGGGAGTGGCCACCTCGGGAAGAAGAGGAGGCAGCCAGTGGGGGTACACCCAGCTGTGGAGAGCGCGGCCCACAGCTCTCTTGTTGCAGCAGCAACTGGGATGGCAGGAAAGCGGCTGGGCGGGGTGGGGGGCTGCCCAGGGAACCTGTGGCAGGCGGTGGGTGCGGAAGCAGCAGCTTTTCAGGTGCTTTCCGTTCCAAGGCTTGATGCCTGAGGTAAGTGGGGCTGGCCCCGAATAGAAAAGCAAGACAGAAATCAAAACTCTCAATCCGCTGTAGTCACTTCATCTTAAAACTTCGATTTGTGTGTATGAATGCTGTCTAGGCTTACGTGGGTCAGTGTCCAAAAGAGGTATTAAATGCATATTTATTTCTGTTTCTATCCCACTTTTCTTTGCAAGAGGATGAGAGTGGCTAACAAGCCATGTAACGCCTAAGCAACACCATTCCAGCTGGAAAGCCAAAGCAAAGTAAAAGCAAAATAAAATACAGTAAAACTATTGCTGCAGCACCAGAAAATGGATAGAACAGTTGCCCACAACAGCAGAACTTGTAAAAATAGATCCATATTAATCCGGAGCCCAAATGTAAGCAGTGTGGGTGACAGCTGAATCTCCACTAGAAGAGAGTTCTGAAGTCAGGGTGCCACCATTGGGTAGACTCTGCCATGTGCAGGAGCCCCAGTGGCTCCATTGCTTGAGGGCACAGCTTTCCCCTCCACAGAGCATGGGAAGCGGGGGAAAGGCTGGGAGAACAGCAAAAGTCATTAGCAGAGGGTAAATCAGTAATAGAAGAGCACTAACAAGCAGTGTCAGGACTAAGATGCAGTTTACAAAACAGAGTTTGTTTTCCTTTGCTTCTTGAAACACCCCTGCTGAATTCTAACTTCCTACCAGTTTAAATTCCTGTGAAATTATGTACCATTTGTCCTTTAGCTTCCAGTAAACACTCTGCTTTTCTATTTTTTATGGTGGAGGAGAGGGAGTAGGGAGAAGCAAGCACATGAAAACAGAAATGTAAGAAATGATTTGATTTTAGGGATATCGATGGGAACGTACACTGTTCTGGCACAAGATGCCAGTCACCCAGTCATGCCTATTTCCAGAATATGTCATTTCAGACACACATGCACACCCTGTGCCAAGTTCCATTTTCCGCTGCCAAGAATAATTGGGAATGCATTGAGAAGGCTGGGCTGTTAGGAAACATTTTCCCCGTACTTGCTTGCTTGGTTTTTCGTATATTTCTGCAAATCTTAAAATTAGAGTTGGGACAAACCTTATGGAATCCATCTTGCACTAGCAGATTTTCATGCTTGTCCCAGTCCTGAAAACCAAACTGAGCCAAGAGGAAGTCTGTGAACTCCAGCAACTTTCCCAGAAGCTTCAGAATGCAAGTAGGTGCTGCAGACAGGTGCACCTGGGGGGGGGGGTGCTCTGAACAGGTGCGCCAGGTGCCATTCCCAGCAACTCACCTTTTCAGCTCGCCGCCGCCACCACCAGCATTTAGTGGTGGGAAAATGGCAAACCTGACTGGAGTCCAGGGAGTGAAGCCTAGGAAGTCTGATTGACTCCCAGCTGGAAAAGGATTCCTTGCACATTCCTACTTGGCATTCTGCCAAGCATTCTGCCAACTTCCTTCTTAATGTATTAATATATATACTGGAAGTCCCCAAGTTACAAACGTCCAAGTTACAAACAACCTGGATTTATGAATGAGCTGCCATTAAACCTATTAATTAAAAACATTACTGTGGAAAATTGTCATCACCATAGAGAGAGGGGGGCACAAAAGGGGAGAAAGGGAGGCCTCCAACGCATCACCACAGAGAGGGAGGCCTCCAAAGCAGGCCTTCCTGGCCTGCCCACCTGGACAAGGAACTCTCTCCAGCGTATCCTTGCTGCACAGAGGAAGCACTAGCGGGTTAGAGTGCAAGGCGGGAACTAGAGACATTCGTGGCTTTTCCACCTCCGTGTGAGTCCTGTGTCCCCAATACCCACGAATGTGGAGGGTTGACTACGTGTGATCTGGCTTGCATACAAATGCAACTTAAAGACCAATTTCTGTTTTCTCAGGAAAAGAACTTGTTTGTAACCCAGAGGCTGCCTGTAATATGGATGGATGGATGCCAGGGGTGTATAAAACAATCATGCATCCTCCTCTCCATATCCGAAGCGATCTGCCTAGGGGAACTGAATGGGAAACCCTCCTGTCCTGCATGTGGGATTCTATGGGCAGCTTGTTGGCCACCGCGTGAACAAGAAGCTAGACGAGGTGGACCCTTGATGGACTCTGACACAGCAGGGCTCTTCCCATGTTCTTAATTCATGGGGACAAGATGCGACCCGTCTCACCTGACAACCACAGAGGCCAGTCAAGTGAACAAGATGGGCGAGCGTCCGACGTTTGCGCCATTAAAGTCGCTGCATGCCATGGATCCAGAATCCTGCGTGGAAAATGCTTGAGCTGCTCTCCGTTTGGAGCACCGCTGAGAGCCCCTTAACTTTTCCCTTCCCTTCCGACTTGCAGTGGAAATACACGTCCATCACCCCACAGGCCGATGCCACCTAACTTGGCATATCTTAAGGACACTCTTTTCCCACTGAGTGGAAAACAGCCCCGGGCAAATAACGTACCTTGAATGATTCGGTCACATGCTTGGTGGCTGCCCCCGTACACCCTGCTGCACAGTCATTTTGACAGCCCTGCAAGGAGCAAAAGCCAGTGGTGAAACACACAAGCACACACAAATCCAAACAGAAGTGTGACATGCATTCACCTGTTTGGCAAATGCTCTGCATAACCCAAAGAGAAAATCCCAGGCTTGTTATTGCAGGCTTCAATCATATGTATATATTGAATTAATCCAATACATAATAAACCAGTGGTATATACTGCCAATGATCCTTGGTATGCATGCCAATTTTCATGTGTCTAGTAGATTTGGTACCAGATGGACACACTTCCACTTTTGTTATTATTAAAGATTTGGAAATTTCTAATAACCAAAACTCAGTTCAAGGCACCTTACATATAAAAACATAAAAACACAATCCAACCATTTCTAGTGGTAAGAATGACAAAGAGCAACTTTGCTGGTGTGTGGCTGGTGTGTGCGTACATGTGATTCCACCTTGCTGTGGATTTTAATCTGGGTTGTATTTATGTGTTGGAAATGCTTTTGCCTTGATTTTATCTGATTTGTTTTATGGGCATGTTGCACTTAAGTTTTTAATTTATACACGGCTCAGTGAACTTTGGCCACTGAGCCGTTTTAAAACACAGTAAAATAAAGAAATGCATGTCCAAGAATGTGGGTGGTCTGGAATGCTGTTGGCAATTACTGCTAGTAAATTCAGAAGTTAAGGCATATCCTAACTCTGTGGGAAAGTGTTGTAATTTAATGGTAGAGCTCCAGCTTTACAAGCACAAGCTACCATGATCAATCATTAGCATCTCCAAGTGGGGCCAGAAAAATCCTGTCTGAAAACCCAAATCAGTCAACAGTAAATGACTTGGTAGGCCAAGGGTCCAACCAGTACCAAGCATATATTCCACAATGTTTATTCATCTTTTAAACCCAATGATAGGAAATGTGTGGCTTGATAATACTGCAAGTGAGAAGGATCCTGGAATTGTTGGAGACCACGAGCTGAATATGAGTCAACAAGGTGATGTAGCTGCAAAAAGGACAAATGTTTATTTTGGGCAGCATAAAAAGAACCACTTCCAACTCATGTGAAGAATTTGTCCCCTTTAAGCAGCACTGGTTAGGCCTCATCTGGAGTCCCGTGTCCAGTCCTGGGCACCACGGTTGAAGAAAGATGCAGACAAGCTGGAAAGGGTTCAGAGGAGGCAACAAGAGTGATGCAGAGACAAGAAACGATTATGTGCAAACTTACTCAGCAGTGATTAAGAGACTCCAAATTTTCAAGATGTGGGAGGATGCCACAGTGTCCATTTATTTTGTTGGTGCTCTTCAAGCTGCTAATCCCATTTAACTCAAATACAGATGGGTTCTCTGACCGATCTCTCAGAATTCACTGAGTTCCTCCTTTGTTTCACCCTGCCGCCATCACTTTTCTCTCTTTATTGTTTTTACTGAACTTATATAATGCCCTCATTCAATTGCAGCATTAAATTAGGGTTTGGCATTTCATAAACAAGCTTCAGGTTCAGTAGCTCCCCACCTGCTCCCTAGCAGGCCACAAAAATGGACACAAGAAACTTCCCAGTGTTCTAAACCCTAAATGTTTGTTCATCTTAACGGTGGCTTAGTAAAGTAAGGTTTTATAAACCATTTTTGAAAGTTGGTTTGTTTCAGTAAATGCTATACAGAAGAGTTGCTGCTCAGTGCTTGACCACCTGATTTGCCTGCTCTTCAACTTGGCAAATCCAGGTGGGCCAGGAAAACCCCCTGCCCAGAACCCTGTTCCTGCCAGTCTGTGCATCCAGGCCAGAATTTGATGGACCAGAACGGCAGCAGAAAGCAGCTTCCTACATTTACTCTTGAATTGTCCACAACGACTGCAGCTCTCTGTGTGTTTTCACACAGGAGTCCATACCAATCCTGCCTGGAGATGCCAGCAGGTGAAGTTGACACCTCCTACATGCAAAGGAGAGGCTTCTCAACTGGGCTTTGCCCCATCTCAAGAGGCAGCTCAGGTCTCCTTGTGGCACCTAAAGAACACCCTGCAATTGTTTGAAGCCCTCCCTGAAGCCATAGGCACCAGGAGGAGCTGCTAAATTCCCTTCCAACTGCAACTGGAAAGCCACACAGGCGCCTCCCCAGGATCGCAAATGCAACCTTGGAGGGAGGCAAAGGGGGTGGGCAGAAGGAGAAAAAGGCCAGGTTAAGGGGAAAAAATCTATGGCCTCCCCAGTGTCAACTCAGCCCACTCATGAGCAGAATTCCTTTTCAAGTTGGGCTCAAAGCTCTGCCCAGAGGCAAAAAATGTAAAAGGAGGATGGAGAGGAGAGCCCCTGATGCTCCCCCCACCCCACCCTCCCAGCAGCAGCCCAGTGGGGCATTAGATACTCAGAGCCTCCAAGATCTAAATTACATGTCTGTCAAACCACTACTGCTAACTTAACTGTGGGAATGGAACTGGTTTCCTCTGGGCATGCATTACTAAGACAACCATTGTGTCTGTGCATGTTCACCTGTCCTACCAGATTTATATATTGCCTTCAGAGGTCAAGACAGCTCAAAGGAAGCAACGCGATGCCTGCATCCCATGGCAGAACCAGCCGTCCATCTTTTCCCTTTGATGTCCTATGCCATTCCTGGGTGAAGCTCAGTCATTGCAAACACACTGCCAAAGCACAGTCTGCAAGCAGAGTCCACTGGGATGCCTTCCATAAACCAATTAAGGTTATCACCCTTACACCTTTATCATGCCTCAGTGGAGAGCAAAGGGAGCATCAGGCAAAGAAAACGCTTTTTGCAGAAAGAAGAGGATGCAAAAAGAGAATGCTGCAAAGCAGAACCGAAGCGCCGTCTTCTGGCTTGGTGGATCACAGATTGTGCAGCCCCATTCCCAGCTGTTGCCGCACTGAAGCCATGGATGGTCTTCGGAGCAGGAGAAACACCACCTGATTGACTATTCTGCTTCCTCTGTTTACCAATATATTTGCAATTACTTTTAGGTTGCCTCTAAGGGTAGGATCCTCACTCTCAGCTCCTTGATAAACTAACTCAGGGGAAGTTTGGGGATAGACCAGCGCTGGAAGATGGAGCGTCTTCCATGGCATGCAGAGCACTCCAAGGTCAGTCTACAATATCTCCAGTTAAGAGGAGAAAGTGACAAATGATGGAAAAGACCTAGAACAAAAGTCCCCAATGTCATACCCACAGGCACTTGATTTTTTTTTTCATCTTGGATTCATGGATTTGAACAAAATGCACACTACTTTCTAACAATTATACATAGACTTCAGCAAAATCAGACCAAATATTCAAATAAACATCCATTTCAAGTTGCTTTCTATGTGCCACCCATTTATATTCAAAACTAGGATAAGGTTTCATGAAAATGCTTACAAGGTCTTTACGTCTCCCACCTTCACATCAATGTAGATGACACAACGGACTAAAATGTGCAAGCAAACAGCACCAGAGCTCTTAGGGCAATGGCGCTGCAGCACCGCCTTCAAACACAAAGGCCTGAACTGTACATTTCCCAAACCAGGCTGATGCCACCATTTTCAATGCAAACTCCCTTTCAAAGCAGGGCTAGTGGATCTGAGACCCACCAAATGCGATGAGCTACTACTCACATTACCCATGCCATTGGTCAGGCCACCTGGAATGATGGGAGATGTAGTCCAGCAGTGTTTGGAGGGATATAACCTTTCCAGCTCTGTTTTAAATTAATTTTAAAAGTCAATTAATTTTCAGATTAACTGAAGACACTAAGATACCGCACAGCCATGGAAGCCCCTCACTTTGGTGACGGAAGTAACGGAGGAAGATTAATGGAGAACAGTGATAACACCCACCAGGGAATTACTGCTAAAGAAAAAAAATCCACCAAATAATGAACTACCCCTATCTTATTGAGCTGAGCAAGTGATGTTGCAGAACTACTGACTCACTCCAAATTATTTTTAACTCCAGCTAAAAAAGCTTGCAACTCCTCGTGACCTTTTCCAAGGGAATCTGGAGAGGCCAAGCAATATATCCAGGCTACCGACAAAGCTGGACGCGGATCCTTTCAACTTCATTTGATGCTGAATTGATCCAAGTTTGGATATGTAATAAGAGTAGGAAATAGCCAAGATAATATTAATTTTAAAAGATGCATTCCAAATGTTCCTAAATTGCAAGATATGAAATTACAATTTATGCGCCATTAAGATAAAAATTAATGAGTGAATTAATTAATTCAAAGTTTTTGCTAGCTCCAACCTTGCTATGACTTTCTCCCTCTCCTCCATTCCACAGCTCTCTCTTGCAGGGACGAACATAATGCACTGTTTGGCCTCGATGCATAGTTTAGGTTGGCTTTGCCACTACAGGAAAAATATTGTCTGTCTTAACCCTTAAGTGCTGCCAGTACAGAAGCTAAGTAGAATTTCTGCCCTTGGAGAAGGCTGCTGGTTCCATTTGAGTGAGAAGCTGTTCTGTACTGGCCACTTGGTCATGAGGACAAGTCCTGAACTTTCAAGCCCTATACAGTTTGCTGACCGGGTACCTGAAGGAACTCCTATTTCCACATCATTCTGCCTGAGTCCACGGATCATCGTTGGAGTCCATCCTCCAGGTCTACCTGCCACCAAAAGCAGGAGTGGGCAACCTCAGGAGGTCCAGGGGCCATTTTTACCTCCTGAAGGCTGTCTATCCCCTGTGCGGAAGAAACATTGTCGAAAACTTTAAAATAGCACGTGGAGCAACCACAGAGTTCCAAAAGGGTCAAAATGATCTTTGAAAGGACCACTCTGGGCAGCATTTTGTATTTTTGTTTTTCTAAACATGTAATGCACTTCTTGGACCTAATGCACTGAGATCCTTTTAGGTTGGCTTTGCCATTGCTAGAAACTTATTTTGTCTGACTAAACCCTTAAGCTTGCAACTCCTCGAGATCTTTTCCAAGGGAATCTGCAAGGGCCGAGCAAAACATCCAGACTACCAGCAAAGCTGGACATAGTTCTTTTCAACTTCATTTGATGCTGAATTGATCCAATTTAGTTATGAAATAAGACT